CAAATTAAAACCTTCTCAGACTTAACCTCATTCATTGTATCTTGACTTTTCAGTTTATTATTAACAACCTTATGAAAATTCAATACATTCCATGTGTTGGCTAATACCACCCCTTATTTATGATTTTTTTCTTTTGTGTTTCCTCCTCCTTCTCTATAGTTAATTGATATTTATTTACATGTGATAAAAATCTGCCTCTTAATTCCACTTCATTCTTTTTCCAGCCATCCTTTTGTCTCATTTTACTTCTCTATCTTTCATTTTCTTTTTATAGATAACACCATTTATTATACTACTTTTATGGATAACACCATTTATCTCAAATTATTATACATCATTTTCAATTAAAATGCTTTAAATATATGTAGACCGAATTTTATCATTGTTTTCTCTTACAGGTTTTACATGTTTATCATCTACGAACCCCTAGGTTTAACAGATTTTTATGCTCTATTAATAGAGTCACTATTTAAATTGCACTTAAAAACAATTTTTAGGCTGACATATAGAAACCCAAGTAATCTTTTTTCCTGATTTTGCTTTCAATAACCTCGACCATCACTCTTAGATATGCCAATAATTTAGTTAATGATTTTATTGGTTTCTGTCTTAAAACTTATATAATCTGTCATTAATAAAAAATAGTTTTTTTCCCAATTATAACAAATTTTACTTTCTTTCTTTACAGGAAGGCCCACAAAGTCGGAAAATATGAGAAATAGAAGTGGTGAGAGCAGATATTTTTACTCAGAGCCCATCTCAAATGTGAAAGTCTCCCTAGGTAACCTTAAATATGATTTTCCACTTTGCAGATATTTTTGTCAGAGTAAGGTTATTCCTTTCTATTGCTAATAAGTAAAGATTTCTATCATAAATATATGTTGAATATGTTGAATATTATCACATGATCTCATTATGTACATATTGAAGTGACCATGTATTTTTGGCTCTTAATCTGCTAGTGTGTGTAATTATGCAGATGAAGTTTCAACTGTTAAACTTGTGTTTTATGTCTGGGGTACACCTTTGGTCCAATGCCTGATCGTCTTATGTTTGTGAATATAATCTTGCAGTTATTCTGTATAGATCTTTTAAAATATGGCTTATGAAATGGAGTTGTCATTGTCTTTCTCATACTTTCTTTTGTTACTATTTGCCACCAAAGTTAGGCTAAGCTTATAATGTGACGGCTGGAATATTCTCCACTTTTCTTTCGCAGTGGTTCAGAGATATTATATGTATGTGGTGTGTTTGGTATACTTCAACATCGACACTTTCTTTGAGATAACTTATGGAGCTCTTTCTCCCACTGTTCAGGTCATCATGAGGAAACTTGCACCTTTGTGTCTTTCTATGATTTCAATATATTGTTTTGGTAAGTTAAGTCCTCTAGAGTTTCATCCCGAAATCTCTGAAATGTCCTAATTTATCAGCATAGAAGATCAGTGTATCCTGTTATTTTTCTAATATTTGCAACTTCTCCACTGCTGGCCCTTCAGTATTTTTCATCTTATGTCATTTGGGTCTTCCTATGGGGAAGTATCACATAGCTTTGTCAATTATATTATTTTTTTCAGGAAACTAACTTTTGACCTTCTTCTTTTCCGTCTGAAGGTTGTTATCTACTAATTTCTGCTTTTACGTGTATCAGTTCCAATGATCTTTTAAGAAATAATTTGCTCTTCCTTTTCTGGCATTACCATTTTCATTTTTCCTCCCATTTCAATTAGCAAGTTGAGTTCTACCTTCCTTACAAACTTACTTCTATATCTAAGCGTCTCAAGGATTCCCAGAATCTAGTATCAACTTCACGATATAATCAATTTTGTTTCATTAGATACCTGGTTGACCTCATTATAACATATAAAAATCAATATAATAATGTTTTCAAGTGATGTGATTTGGAGGATTCTCTTCCTATTTCTTCTTTGTATTGGATTCATGGGGAACTCATTGCTCTTCATGTTGTATATGTATATCTTCTTGAGTCAAAATCAGCTGACAAAACCAATAGATATTATATGTGTCCATCTGACTTTGGTCAATGTCTTGGCCATCATGTTCAGGTTGATACCGTATCTCGTGTCATCCTTTGGAGTAAGACATTTTCTGGATAATGTTGCTTGTAAGGCAACTTTGTTCACATACAGAGTCACCTGGGGTGTTTCCATCTGTTCGACTGCTCTCCTCAGTACCTTCCAAGCCATCACCATCAGTCCCAGGAATTCTAAATGGGCGTGGCTTAAGTCTAAAATCTCCACATGTATTTACCCCTTCTTCCTTTCCTTCTGGATCCTCAATATACTCATCTATGTTGACCTCATCAGAATTGCAGAAGCCCATCACAATTCCACACTTGTCACTTTTGAGTATGTTACACATTACTGCCAAACGAAGCAGTTTGAACACCACCATTTAACTGCATATACAACTCCCATAATAATTCGAGATCTCCTCTTCGTGGTCCTCATGATGTGGTCTAGTGTCTACACGGTAAATCTCCTCTACAAACACCACGAAAGATCTCAGCATCTTCACAGCTCCAGCCTCTCTTCCCAGTCATCTCCTGAAATCAAAGCCACCCACACGATTCTTCTCTTGGTAAGTTGTTTTATTTTATTTTATTTCTCAGACAACTTTTTTACTTACTATTTGTTTCATAAACCTGAGAAAAATTTACGACTGGAGAGAATGACTGCGATGATTTCATCCTGCTACCCAACCATCTGCCCTTTCGTGCTGATGAAAAATAACATAATTGTTTCCAAATGGACTTCTTCCCTTTCAAGGATGAGAATTATCTTTTCTTGAAAAACATTCAATAGATGATGTTACATCCACAACCTCCTATGGCAACAGAGGACTGTCTATGATGATATATACCAGAAAACAATGCCTTTTGGCTATGGAACACTGACATGGAGCTAGCATGAACTGAGATGGGCTATACATTAAACATACATACAGATATGAAGTCTTACAATGCAAAAGAATGTATAAATATGAAATTAATAATTTTCATATTGACTCTTGTTTAAGTACAATATTTGGGGTTGAACAAAATAGAAATCTATGATTAAAATGAACTTTATCTGCTAGGTTTTGGTCTCTTTAAAATGTAGGTTCAAGAAGTTTCAAATTATATTAGGGCTTAAATTAGATTTCTGTAAAACTGCACTACACTATAGAAAGTCATGTATCTATCAACAAATATATATTGCATGCTTTACATATTCCAGGCACTATTTAGGGGCTGGATTTACATTCATGAACAAGAAAGGAAAAATATAAGTACTGAGGAGATTATATAAATGTTTAGGGGAGAGGGTATAGCTCAGTGGTAGAGCACATGCTTAGCATGCAAAGATCCTGGGTTCAATCCCTGATATCTCCGTTAAAAAAAAAAAATGTCACTTGGGCTCCCTCTGAAACGTGTAGGGAAAAGATCCTTTCTTTTTTTTTTTCCAGCTTCTAGTGGCCCCAGGTGTTCCGTGGCTTGTGGATACATCACCCCAAGCGCACATGCTCACATAGCGCTCTCCCTGTGTCTCTTCTTATTGTCTTCCCTCTGTATGTCTGTCCCTGTGTCCAAATTTTCTGTTTTAAAACTCTGATTCGGTGCCACCTAATGACCTCATTTTAATGTGATTGCCTCTGTAGAGTCTGTTTCCAATTAAGTTCACATTCGGAGATACCAGAGTTTACAACCTCAGCATTTTGTGAGGAAGGTGCAGGGGGAGTTATGTTGCAATCCATAACAGGGCCACAGAAGGTAGATAAGATTTCTGGGCTAGTCTTTCTAAAGACTGGTGTAGGTAAAGAAGCAAAGAGTCAATGCGGGGGAGGGCAGAGGGCAGAGCTCGTTGGTAAATTGTGTGCTTAGCATGCACGAGGTCCTGGGTCCAATCCCCAGTACCTCTACTAAAATAAGTAAATAAATAAACCTAATTACCTACCCCCTCAAAAATAAAACAATAAAAAACCCCACACAAAAGACGTATTTAAAAAAACTATACAAAAAATGTTTTAAAAAACGTTCCCCAAAGAGTCTATGCACAAAGGGAATGGGGTGGGATAGCCCCAGCTGGAGGTGAGCAGGAAGACGTTAAAGAACTGGGAACTGGCACACAGTCCCAGGCGCTGCTCTAAGTGCTTTTCGGTATGAACTCATTTGTTCCACAGCACGACCTGCTGAGGGAGGCACCATTATGATCCCATCTGATAGAAGAAGAATATGGGGCACAGAATTGTTATGTAACGTGGCCAACATCACAAGCCCTAAGTGGTAGAGCTGGGATTTGAACCTGGATGGGCAACCTTGAGAGTCCATGGTCCTAGCAAGTTCAAAAGGGAACATCAATGCCTGCTGGAGATGGTGTTGCTGTAGGACCCACTTCTTGTCCTTACTTCGTCCACAGATGAGCTAGAAAAATAGTTTCAGGCAACCACAGAGGGGATGTTATTAACTGTGTCTTCAGCAGTCAATGTAGGTGACGTCCATCATTTCTCACTCCTGTCCTCATCCCAGACTAGAGGTAACTCAGTTCAGGAGAGGGCACTGAATATGTGAGAAAAAAGGAGACCCCCTACTTCCCCTCCACGTCACTGGAGCCACTGAATTTTTAAATAAGCAGGACTCTTCCTCATTCTCTTTTTCCTCAACTTGTTGGAATTTGGCACCTTTTGAATGTTGGACAAATCCAAGGGGAAAATCCAAGTTGTAAAAGCATTGATTGTACCCATTGGGATTAGCAAATACAAACTACTGTATATAAAATAGATAAACAACAAGGACCTACTGTGTAGCACAGGGAACTATATTCAATAGCTTGTAATAACCTATAATGAAAAACAATACATATATATGTGTCACTGAATCACTATGCTGAAAATCGGAAATTAACACAGCATTGTAAATCAACTATACTTCAATAAAAATAAAATAAATAAAAAAGCATTGATTGTTTCCAAAGAGAGGTGCACATTCCTACTTCATAGTTTTTTTTTTTTAGGCATTTGGGAAGGGGATGGGTGGGCTACAGGACCTTCTAGCCCTAGTACTCATGTAATTTTTGACTCCTGAACTTTATAATGGAGTAGTGGACTTTGGATGTATATGAAATTTCTGTTAATGTACTGTAAACCAAGTCATCTGTTTGGCATAAGCAAATGCTCTCATGAGCACCCTGAGTCCACTGGACTGCAGAGAACCAGAGGGCTTAAGGCACTGATAACAGCTGCAGGTGTACTTTTCAATCCTGTGTGATGTGTGACGCTGGTAACAATCAAAACCGTGTTGAATGATGAGGATCCTTGTACTTGGCATGAGAACAGGATGGGAGGGTCACACTGAAAAATGCCTGTTCTTCTTCTTTTTTTTTCAAAATGCCCCTTGTAAATTTGTTCTTAGATTCTGCACCTTTTTCTTTGATAACAATGAAGTGCGTTTGTTTTACCTTCATCATGACTAGAATTGGGGAGGGAGGAAGGTTAATGTTTAAGGGCATCTTGACATGAAGAGAAATTTGCTGTTTATTTATATAAATACGCTCAGCTCAAAAAGTGTTTTTCAGACTTGGTATTCCTCAGTGGGATTTGATTCTACTGCATTTTTCGGGGCAAGGTAATTAGGTTTATTTATTTTTAGTGGAGGTACTGGGGTTTGAACCCATGACCTTCTGCGTGCTAAGCACATAATTTACCACTTGAGCTATACTCTCCCCATGAAGCTCCTTAAAATGTAGTGAGTTTAAATATTCATTTATGTTTTGGCAAACTCTGAATAAGGTCTGTACCTGAGTTAACAGAACTGTACCAGAATCAATCTCCTGCGTTTTCACCATGTCCTGTGGGTATCTAAGATACTATCATGGGGGGAGCTGGGGGAAGGGCAGAGGGGAAGGCTCTGTGCTAGTTTTGCAATTTTTGTGATACTTAAACAACTTCAAAATAAAAAGTCAACCCCCCCAAAAAGAAAAAAAGATCACTTCTACAGGGGCACTAGCCATATTTCTGACACTCAAAGGGCCACATGGGCCTGGTGGTTAATATATTAGATGGCGTCCATGCAGAATCTTTCTAGCATTGCAGAAAGTTCTATTGGATGGCACTGTCCTGAACAGAGCCTCAACTGGACGTGATTACCCTTCATTCCAGCTCTGGGGATCCTGGGCCCTCCTTGGTCCCCCATTGCCTGGTACCCAGCCCTCACCCATCCCGATGCACCCTCTGATGCTGCAGGAGGTTGCTGGGATGCGCGAAGCCCTTGCTGCAGATGCGGCACTTGTAGCGCGTGTCCCCCGTGTGCACCTTCTCGTGGACCGCACGGTAGTTCAGGTCCTTGAAGAGCTTCGGGCAGAAGCGGCAGGCGTGAGGGCGCACAGGGCTGTGCCCGCGGAGCTGCTGCAGGAGCAGCGAGGGCCGGGAGAAGGCCTTGCCGCAGGTGTCGCAGGGCAAGGGCCGCTCGCCCGAATGCACGCGGCGGTGAGAGGCCAGCGCGTTGGACTGCTTGAAGGCCTTGGCACACAGCTGGCAGGTGAAGGGCCGATCGCTCGTGTGCGCGCGCTCGTGCACCCGCAGGCTGTGGCCATAGGCGAAGCACTCGCCGCACACTGCGCACGCGTGGGGCTGCTCCTCGCAGTGCTGCCGTCGGTGCAGAAGCAGGGCAGACCCAGCGGCAAAGGCCTTGCCGCAGTCCGGGCAGGGGAAGGGCGGCGCGGTGGCGTGCAGCCGCTGGTGGCGGTGCAGCTCATAGGGGGTCTTGAAGCGCTTCGGGCAGGATGGGCAGAGGAAGGGGCGCTCGCCCGTGTGGATGCGCCGGTGCTCCTGGGGACAGGGAGTGAGGAAAAGCAGATGACCTTTGCAAGACCCGCTTCTCCAGGTAGACTCACCCTGGTACTTGCCTCCCGAAGAGAGACCACATGTACGTACACATACCAATTGTCTAAACATTTCTTTGACTTTTTTTTTAAATGCTGGTACTGGGGATTGAACCCAGGACCTCGTGAATGCTGAGCACACGCTCTACCACTGAGACTCTATTCACTGCATTCTACCCTCCCCCTAAACATTTAAAAATTGTAAATCAAACTGTTAGATAAACTATGTCTTCTTCCTACCTTGACAAATAGACTTTCACAATGACCTGCAAGGCTAGGTTGAAATGTATATTTTTTTGGAATCCTCAGAGTTCCACATGAGAACTTGGTGGCCCAGGAGAGCTGGCTGGGGCTGCCCAGGAGAGCAGGTTGGGGCTTCCCAGGCCTTAGGGGATATCGCACCCACACTGGGGCAGCCCAGCCCACATGCCCCAGGCTCCCTGACACTCTCCCAGCCTAGAGAGCACAAGCCAGGCAGGGCAAAGTGCACCCTCTGGATGGTGGATCTGGAGAAAGCGCTGGAAGCAGCCTCGGGGATCCTTGGGCAGGGAATTCCAGGGTCTCTTGTCCCCTTGGCCACAGAAGGAGGGGCATCAGGAGAGGCTCAGAGCAGCACGCAGTAACAGGAGGGATCCAGGCTAGGGCTCCGAGGGCGGGGCTCCCTCCAGGCTAACCCAGGCCTCTCCTTTCCTCCCATCATGCTCTTCAGCACACATGCCCTCCCTTTCCCCAGCCATGGAAGCCTCCCTTTTCAGTACCTTCTCCTCCAGCTCTGACCTTGATCTCCTTCTTACCCTCCTCGAAAACCCATCCCCATTTCCTATTGTCTCATGACCATCCTAACTGCCACCTCCTTCGGTGGCAAGTCTCCTTTCTCTAGGCCTCTCCCCTAACAACTTCAGGGCCACTTCTACCTTCTAGCCCACCTCCACATCCTTTTAACCCCTCCCCACCTCTACCGCCTGGTCACCCTACAGCCCCTATTCCCTTCAGGCCCAGCCCTGTTCTCCCTCTTGCGCTGGGCTCTGCCTCTCCCACTCGGCCCCACTCACCTCCAGCTCAAGGCCCTGCTCATCTTAGTCCCGGAAAGCTTCACTCCCTCCCTTCAGACCTGGCGCTGCACCCCATCCACCAACCTAGGCTGCACCTCCCCTCAGGCCCCACCCACCTCTGGTCCATCGTCCTGCCCCTTTCCCGCAGGCCCCGCCCCTCCCTTCAGGCCTCGCCCACTTCTGGTCCACTGCAATGCCCCGCCCTTTCCCCATAGGCCCTGCCCAGGCCCTGCCCCCCCGCTCCGCACCTGCAGGTTGCTGGCTCTCTTGAAGCGCTTGCCGCAGGCGTCGCAGCCATGTGGCCGCTCGTCGCTGTGCACCAGCCGGTGGCTCTTGCAGTCCGAGTGGCGTTTGAAGGCGGCTGCACACAGGCCGCAGCGGAAGGGCCGCGCCGCGGTGTGCACCACCTCGTGGCTCAGCAGCTCCCACGAGCGCTTGAAGGCCTTCCCGCACGCCGCGCAGCTGAACGGCCTGGGCCGTGCCGGCCCCTCGGGGACCTCACGCAGCGAGCCTGGCACCCCCTTCCCAGAGCGCCCCACCGCCGCCCCTCTGCGGACGAGGCAGGCGGTCGAGTACTCCCCGTGCTCGTCGATGAGCTGCACCAGGGTCACAGCCTCCGCCTCGGCCCCTCCGGGAGCCTGGGAGAGGAGGAGAGGGGGCTCAGTCCTCGGGTCATCCCCCCATCCCACCGCGGCCCAGACGTGACGGACGGTGGGCTTGGGGCTGAGGTCGCCTCGTCTGTGAAATGGGCAGACAACGGGACCTCCCTTCCTGGAGCTGCGATGCGGATTAAATGAGTTAATACGGAAACCCTGATGCCCCTACCCTCAACTCTGCTCCTGCGGACGCCTTCGTTTCAGCAAAAGGCAGCTCCTTCGTTTCCTTCCAAGTGCTCAGGGCAAAGATCGGAAACCCTGTTCTCACACACCTCCATCTAATCCCTCATCAAGTCTGTTGGCTCTAACTTGAAAATACATCCAGAACTGGACCACTTCTCACCAACTGCACGGCCCCCACCCTCCCGTAAGCCAAAATCATCTCTTGCCGGGGCTACTGCTGTTTTTTGTCTTCTCCCTAGGTTCCCTGCTCGGCCTTGGAGCCTCCAAGGTCTGTCCCCTACACTGCCACCAGGCGGCGCCTGTTAACACCTAAGTCAGCTCACGTCCCTTCGCTCAGAGCCCTACCCTGGCTCTTTCACTCAGAGAAAAGCCCAAGTGCTTACCGCGACCCGGGGAAGGCCTTGCATGACCCGCCTGCGTTCCCTCTTTGACCCCATCTCTCGCCTTCTCCCCTGGCTCACTACACTCTGGCCGCACTCAAGGTCTCCTTCAGTTTCCTCAACAGAGTTGGTGCCTGGAACCCTCTTCACCTGGACAGCTGCAGGGTCCCTCCCTCACCTGTCAGGTCTTTGGTCAAAAGTCACCTCTCCCTGAGGCCATTCCTGACCACTCTGTTTAAAACTGAAACCCATGCCCCCCCTCTGATTCTTCCTACTGGCTTCCTGGCTTTACTTTTCTCCACAGCACTTATCTTTGGATGTGAGCCTGGAGCTGCCTGTATCCATCTTTTGAGCCCTGTGGGAAGAGTCAGCCTGGCAATGAAACGTCCATAGGAAAAAATGGCACCAAGTGATGAGAGAGAGAGCTTCCTGATAAGCACCTAGATCTAGCTACACCTGAAGAATCCTTCCTCCGTTCTTTGGTTAGGTGAGGCAATAAATTACTTTTTGTCATTTAAGCAAGTTTGAGTTGAGTTTCTTGTCATATGGCAGGCTGAATACCGGTCTCTAAGTATATCCAGGTCCTAGATCCCTGGAACTTGTAGATCTTGCCTTAAATAGTAATAGGGACTTTGCAGATGTGATTAAATTCGGGATCTTTGAAGATGGCAGAAGGGGCCAGAAGCCCAGGAATATAAGAAATACAGCCCTAGAAAAGGCAAAGAAGTGGTTTCTCCCCTGAGGCTTCACAGGGAACCCAGCCCTGCTGACACCTTGATTCCGGCCCTGTGAAATTGATTTTGAACTTCTGATCGCCAGACTGTAAGAAATAAATGTGCGCAGTGTTAAGTCATCAAGTCTGTCGTCACTGGTTCCAGCAGCCATGGGAAACCAATAAGTGCCATGTGCCACTGAAACCACAGAGGGGACACTGCTAATCGGAATCTTTATTTGGCCTTGATTTAACACTTTCTGGATACTAGGTACCAGACAGAGTGCTCACAATAACCCAGTCATCTGTAGGGAGATAGATGCTCAGAGGTGAGTCACTTGCCTGAGGTCACAGAGCTTGGAAGTGGAAGAGTCCAGGTTTGAATCTGGCAAGTCTGGCTTGAAAGCAGCCCTCGCAAATCCAGACTCACCTGAGGATTCGGTGACCGTGTTAGAGATAACGACATCAGCTAATATTTATTGGCTACTTAGGGGATGCAGGCACTCATTGGAGCCATTCATGTGTATTAACTCCCTGAACTCACTCTAGGAGGTGGGGACTTTCATTATTCCCATCTGACAGAAAACTGACGCTCAGAAATTAAGAAATACCTGGATCACATCTTACAGCTAGTAAGAGGCAGGGGTGGGATTTGAACTCACAAGATCCTACCCCTATAATGACGAACTCTCATTTGATAGATGGGGACTCGAGGCGCCAGAGAGGCACAGGAATGATTCCAAAATCATTTAGCACTGATGGTGTCTCCTGAGAGAACCAGCACTCCATACATCTACCACTGCCTCCTGTTCTGGGTACCAAAACAACGAATATATTTGTTCCACAACTGCTCAGGATCTGACACCATCTCCTGGAATCCCCACAACCAGAAAGATGCCATTTTCACAGAAGGAGAAACTGAGGCTCAGAGGAATGTGTCCGTGTGTCAAATCACAAAGCTAGGAAGCAGAAGAGCTGGGAATCAAACCTACAGCTGCCTGAATCCCTATTCCTCCTGAGACCCAGCTCCTGGGATGGGTGGGGATCCAGGCGCTCACCTCTTCTTCTGGAATCTTGGGCTCCTCGGGGTGTATCCTTTGTTGAGATGGACCGAACCCCAGACAGTCTGAGGGGTCTCCGGGACCCACTTCTCCATCTCCTGCCTTCATTGGGTGGGGTCTGTCCCTGACCCAGCCCTTGGGCTCTGGGTGCCGAAGTGACCGTGAGGTGGGATGAGGAGGCAAAGGGGGCTGAGGAAGAGAAAAGGGATGTCGCAGGCGTCAGGGAGGGATTTCTCCATGCTGCTGGTGTCAGGAGAGAGGTCTCCTCCCAGGTTTCTTCGGCCCTGGGGACCCAGGGAGGCCATCCCTCTCCAAGACCCTCCTCGGGGAGATGAAAGGTATTCCCATGGCCTCAGCCACCAACTATACACTGGTTTCTCCATCCCCACAGCCTTGAATCCACCTCCTGCCTGTCCTCGCCCAGCCTCCTCCCTGGCCTCCCTGCCTCCAGTCTCCTCTTTTCAGTCCATCCCCTGTGTGGCCCTAGAGGAGTCTTTCCATCTACCAGAGCTGTTCCTGCTTCCTCCCTGCTCACATTCCTCCCCTGGCTCCCCAGTGCCCCAGTAGAAAAATGAGCTCCCTGACCAGGCATTCAAGACCCTTCACAATATGACCTCTTGAACTGAATCTTTGAGTTCACATCACTTCTCTCTCCCCAGCTGGCCCAATCACCCTCGTGGTACTAAGGACCAACCACAGCTGATAGCACTGGGACTTCACCCCCTGGATGACCTGCAGGTCCCTCGCACTCACGACATCTGTGTTCACCTTAGAGTCTTCTTCCAAACACACTCCTCCTCCCAGGGTCCTCATGTGTGGGTGGCCTCATTGTCCACCCAGGGAGGTTCTCATCCCTCCCTCCTCCTCCTCCTTCTCATTCCCTACTCCCCTGTCAGTCAGTCCCCAGATCCCATCCTTCCAGAATTTGCTTTCGTCCTGTATCCTCCCCACTGTCCCCACAGCCCCTGCCTCAGCTCAGGTCTCTGCCTCTCCTCCAGAATCATCACCCCCGCCTCCTTTCTGGCCTCTCACCTCCTGCTTCCCCACTCCAAACCGTCCCACAGATGGCCCCAGAAAGGTCTTTCTACACCCATAGCTGATCTTGCCCCTCTCCTGCTCACAACTCTCCCATGGCTCCCCAGCACCACAGGACAGGGTCAGGCCCCTCAGCCTTTGATATGACCCCTGCACACTCTCCAGCCTGTGGACCTTACATTCCAACAGGCAGCCCATCCTTCTGCAAGTAGATCCTTAACTCTTCCACCTGTTTGCACCTGTGGTTCGCCCATATCTCAGACCCTCTACTCCTGCTTCAAGGCACAATTCAAACCTGTAACTCGGGCCAACACTCACCCGGGCCCTCTCCATTCATATGAGCAGAAGTCACCCCAGTACTGCCCAAATCTCCCCGTACAATGGTCTCTCCCAACCAAATTCATCCCGCTCAGGGAGACACACAACGAACTGGCCCACCCCAACCTCCCGCCTCCCCACCCTATGATCTCACCCATCTAGAGGCCCCGCCTTCTTTCTCTGACAAAGGTCTTCCGGGCCCCGCCCCCTTCAAACAAGAGCCTCCTGAAGGCCACTCCGCTTCTCTTCCAACGGCTTGGGCCCCCTTTCCCCTTTTCCCCCCTTTTCTCCTGGCCTCCGTCGCAATGATCTCGCCCGCCGATGGTCCCTTCCGCACCCAGGCCCACTCCCTCCATCCCTCTGCTGCAAACTTGGTATGTCCCGGGGTGGGAGACGGGAACGGGAATCGGGCGAGACCATTACCCGAGACGGGAGGGCAGACATGAGTCCCTTCAACTAGGGACTGACTGGGCGTCTGGCTCCCCCGGTGCCTTTCAGATTCGATCCGTGTCTTCCCAGACTTCCCGCGCCTCACCTTGCAGTCCAGGTGTACTGCAGGTTCACAGGAGTCTCCATCCACTGAAGGACTCGGGGCAGCAGCCCTTTCGCCCAGCACGCCCCAACCCCGGGTGCGCATGCGTAATGCATTTCTGGTCCAGAGGCTGCTTTTTATCAGGCAGTTGACAAAGAGAGATTTCCCTCCTTCTGCAGCATCACTCAAACCCCCTCAGACGTCAATCCACAGCTTCAGTCTCCCGAAAAGAAATAAGGAGGACTGATATATAATAATAACCAAAGACCGAGGCCCTTAGCATGCACTAGACAGTGTAAGCACAGTATTTTCAGTTCTCAAAACCGCCTTGGAGAGTTACTATTATCCTCGTTTTCCTCATGAAGAACCTGAGGCTCAGAGAGGAGCCTCAACAAGGGCGTGACAGCCGTATTGGGGGTCAGCTGCGTCTGACTCCATCCCCACACTCTTTCTGCTAAAATGAGAGCCATTGAAAGTGCAGGGTTGGAAGCTGAGGGGGCAAACTACCCTCCTCTGCTGTGTGTCCTTAGGCAAGTTACTGAATCTCTCTGATTTATTTTCCCCAGCTGGAAAACAGGCACAGAGCCTGTCTCCTGGGGTTTGGGGGGTGATTTTGCTATAGGTAAACCACCAGCACAATGTCGTTCAGGGCTAATTAAATATCAGCATGGGGGCAGGCCTAGGACTTTGATGACTGCAGGAGACCAGATGGGGAGCTATGAAGAGAGTTCTGTACCATCCACACAGAAGAGACTTCCCGCTACCCATGTCCTGCCAATTTTTGCTACAAAGAACACAGGCCCCGTGTTGCCAGACATTCTGAGCTGGCCTGCTTCAGCAGAGTGGATTTCAAATCAGTTCTTTGGAGCCCTAAGGTTCTTCCCAGGTGCAGTGAGGCCAAGTTGGGGGCTAGGGTAGGGCAGAAGCAGCACCCTGTGTATCCCAACTCCTACTCGAACTTCAGTCATAATTTTGATGATGACAGGCAGTCTTCGAAACACACCCCATGTTTCACTGCAGTGAATCCTCAAACTTTTCTTTTTATTGAATTATAGTCGAATTACAATGGGGTGTTAATTTCTGGTGTACAGCATAGTGATTCAGTTGTACATATATATTCCTATTCATATTTTTTCATTATCTAATGATAAAAGAGTCAAGTGGAGAGGTCTGGGACATTGGTCTGCACTGGACTATTGTTGGGTTTGCCTGCCCAGGATTCATCTTCCCTCCTCACTCTGATTCTGTACATTTTGTCTGCCCTGTCGACCTGCTAAAGGAATGAGCAGGTGTCCAGGCTGACTGATTAGGGCAGTGATTCTCCAAGCGTGGTCTCTGAACCAGAAGCAGCAGCATGATTTGGAACTGATTACACATGCAAATTCTCAAGCCTGACCTCAGAACTATTGAATTAGAAACTCAGAGGATTGGGCTCCCCCTACTTGTGTTGTAACAAGGTCTCTGTGTCATTATTTTCCTAAGGTCTGCTCAAGTAGGAGCGCCTGATAAACAACAAACCATAATAGACACATAAACCATAAGTGCTTATTGTTAAATACCTCTGAAGTGTCATGGGTGTTACACAGCATCAACATAACCATAATTAAGACTGATACACTTCGTAAGTCCAATCAGCTTCTTCCTTGAGATTTGATACTTGAATGCTGGTAGGAAGGTCTTTGGGGATCAAGATGTGAGGGGATGAGGTTAGGGCTTCAAGTAGCTCTCTTTCTCAGCCACAGGAGAAAGCCTTCTTTTGAAGAAAACTATGGCACAAAGGACAGAAGACAAGGGCAAAACCTGACATTATTTGAGACCCTGGATTCAGCTGCCCTCAAAGCCTTTGGTGTCCCGGTGACATGAATGGCTGGATGACCTTTTACATTGAGCTCCTTTTTTTGCTACTCGAAGTGCGCTCCCCAATCCAGCAGAAACCACATCATCAGAAAAGCACCGCAGACCTCCAGATCCAGCTTTACTTTAACAAGGATGATGCACGTTGACATTAAAGTTTGAAAAGTGCTGAGCGAATTCCGCACGGATGTCTGTTACCTACAGAACTCAGTCCCCCTCACCAGTTGTGATGACAGAAATCCCAACTCAGATCACCTCAAGCATGAAAATATCTTTTCTCTTACAAAGCCCTCCAGTAGGGCAGACTCTAGGGACTCAATCAGGTCAAGCAAGTGTGCAGATTTTCTTTAGCTCTTAGCTCTGTCATCCTCATGTGATAGCAAGATGCTATCATTCAGGGGGTTCTCCTCAAGACTGAGAAATCCTTTGGAAGCCTCCCACCCTAAACAGACCCATCGGCCAGGATCGGGTCTCACGTCCATCCTGAAACCAATCCCCAGCTCAGTGGCCAAGATTGCCATGGGCTAGTCATTGGAGGGTGGAATCCATGGATGTTGACAAGTTGCCACCACGGCATTC